AGATATAATATATAATCAAAATGAAAAGATAAAATGAAGCTATTTTAGAGTGTGCCTGTGTGTTGTCCAGGTTGTGCGAGGAGAAAGATGGCAGATGGAGGGGGAATACAGGTATGTGCACAAATATTTATAATCAAAATTGAAGGGTGCCAAAATATAAGTATATCTATCTATTCATTAACTTCTTGAGGGTAAGGTCCCTCATAATTTCAATACACTCATTTTTTACTTCCAGGACTCAGCGTAGTGCCAAGTATACAGTAAGAATTTAATATACTTGTTAAGCTAATGAATGCATGTATGTATGCACAAATGTTCTGGGAATATAGAAAGAGAATTCCTGACATTCTGGGAATGATGGGTGTGGATTAGTTGGTGAAGGGGCTGGGGGTTGAAGTTTGTAGCAGAGACTGCTAATTGTTCCCCAATACCCAGTCTCCCCTTCTTTGACAGCAATAGGTCCCTTGATTTTTATCTGGACATATTTACTAACCTCCTCTATTGTTAGGGGTACGATGACTAAGTTCTGGCCAATGGAACGTCAGTGATGTATACACCTTTCAGGTCCTGGCCTTGGAAGGAATGGGTGTGCCCTCCCTTTCCTCTTTATTTCCCTGACCATTGGCTGGAAATGGGCATGGTGGTAAGCCATCTGTGACTAAGCTGACAAAGAGCAAAGCCCTCAGATGCAACCTAAAATCGGAGTCTGGGTGCCTGATGACTGTAGAGAGCCACTGTGCTGACAGAAGTTGATGTGAGAAATAAACTTCTGTTTTATTGAAGCCAGCGGTTATTCTGGGTCTCAGTTTCAGAGACTAAATTGACAGCCTTGTGATGCCTGTACCGAGTTTGGGGAGGCATTCACCAGAGACAAAAAGCAAAGGGCTTTCAAGATTGGGGGAACAGCATGTGTAAGATATGGAAGTTTGGAGAATGGATTTAGTACGTAAGCAATGAAGCTGGCAAGGCAGACAAGGGCCAGATCACAGAGGACCCTTCTGCACTGCTGAAAGGTTTAAAGTGTTTTCCGATAGACAAGATACTGCACGGTAGAGGTGCAGGACAGTGAAAAGATTAGCATCTCACGACTCCCATGTAAAAGAGGTCAGGTAATTAATCTGTTTTATAGGAAGAACAGAAATAGAAATCCAAAGAAGGTAAAGGGCTTTTCCAAGTCAGACACAGAGGTGGAATTAGAACTGGCGGTTTTTTGAATTATACCAGAGTTTTTCAAACTGTGGTCTTTGTGCTGACTGAATCAAAATAACTTGGGCTACCTGTAATACTGCAGATTCCTGGGGTCCACTCCAGAGCTACTCAGAATCTCTGGGGATGGGTTCCAGGAATTTGTATTTTAAAATAATTGATTTAGTGAGAGGAAGGGAGAGAGAGATAAATAAATGTTGATGTTGCTGATGTAAGAGAGAAACATCTACTGGAGGATCGAACCCACAACCTGGGTATGTGCCCTGACCGGGAAGTGAACCTGTCACCTTTCTGTGTATGCGATGACACTCCAACCAACTGAGCCACACTGGCCAGGGCCAGGAATTTGCATTTTTAATAAGGGCTTCAGGTGCTTGAAAGTTGAAAACCACTGAACTATACCAGTCTATCTCTAAGTGTGTATAAACAAGCCAAGTACACAGACCCTGGTAAAAGTCTTTCAGATGCCAGTTCAGCACATTAGCTTTCTCTGTAACCACATACCTTCAAGGAACTAAAGATTAAAGCTTCTTTAGCCAGGCCGGTGTGGCTCAGTGATTGAGTGTCGACCCATGCACCAAGAGGTCCCCAATTTGATTCCCTGTCGGGGGCACATGCCCAGGTTGTGGGCTCGGTCCCCAGTGGGGGGCATGCAGGAAGCAGCTCATCGATGTTCTCTCTCATAGATGTTTCTATCTCTTTCTCCCTCTCCTTTCCTCTCTCTGTAAAATCAATAAAAAAATTTTTTTTGTTGTTTTAAAAAAAGAAGCTTCTGCCCTGGCCGGTTTGGCTCAGCGATTTAGAGCGTCAGCCTGTGGTCCCGAGAGACCCAGGTTCGGTTCCCGCTAAGGGCACGTACCTCGGTTGCAGTTTGTCCCCGGCCATGGTTGGGCTGTGCGGGTGGCAGCCACTCGATGTGTCCCTTTCACATCGATGTTTCTCTCTCTCTTCCTTTCTTTCCCTTCCACTCTATCTGAACAAAAAAAAAAAAAAAAGAAGAAGAAGAAGCTTCTTTATAAATAAAACTTTTGGGGGGGTGGAGGAGGAACTAACAATTATTGAGCACTTACTACTTTCAACACTCTTCTTACAGGTGTATCCCCTTATCCAATGTTTCGCTTTCTATGGTTTCTGTTACCCGAAGTCAACAGTGATCTGAAAGTCTTGAGTGGAAAATTTGAGCGGTAAACAATTCGTAAGTTTTCAATTGCATGTCTTTTTATTTTATTTATTTATTTATTTATTTATTTATTTACTTACTTATTTATTTTCCAGATGTTTCTCCGTTTCCCCCACTGATTCCCTCCTCCCTCTGCCTCCCCACCCTGTCCCCAGCTTTGTTGTCCATGACCTTTGTTCATGCATACATGCATATATTCTGTGGTTTATCTCTCCCCCACCACTCCCTGTTCTGGGGATTGTCAGTCTGTACCTCACTTCCACATTTCTGGGACTACCCCATTCCTCTGCATGCCTTTTTAAACAGTGTGATGAGCTGTCACTCTGTCTTGGTCTATCCTACCCAGGATGTGAATCATCCCTTTGTTCAGTGAATCCACACTACACACTCCCTGACTATTAGTCACTTAGTAGCCATGTAGGTTTTCAATCAGTTGTCATGGCATCACAGTGCTTGAGTTTAAGTAACCCTTATTTTTCTTAATAGTGGCCCCAAAATGCAAGAGTAGTGATGCTGGCAATTCAGATGTGTGGAAGAGAAGATGTGAAATACTTCCTTTAAGTGAAAAGGTGAATGTTCTGTACTTGATAAGGAAAGAAAAAAATCTTATGCTGAGGTTGTTAAGATCTACGGTAAGAATGAATCTTCTATCCATAAAATTATGAAGAAGTAAAAAGAAATTCATGCTCGTTTTGCTGCTGTACCTCAAACTGCAAAAGTTATAGCCCTATATATAATGATATATAAACATGATTCAGTAGTACTGTCAGTGGTTTCAGGCATCCACTAGGGGTCTTGGAACATATCCCCCATGGATAAGGGGGGACTATTATACTATCACCACCTTACAGATGCAGAAACCGAGGCCAAGGGATGTTGAAGACTTGCCTAAGATTTCATGGATGTCAGCTGATCAAATGCCAAAATTTGCCCCTTCCTGTTTAACACACCAAGGGAAGGACTAGAGAATACACTTTAGAATCCCTGAGTATCCATAATAATGTTAGTCTGTGTTAATTTTCCAATTTGGACCATTTATACAAAGTAGTTGGACAAATTTCCAAGATTCCTGAACAGTACCCTGTAGGGTTTCTAGGGTTATTTACCTTAAGTATTTTTAGCATGCTTTTTGCTAAGCTTGGAGCTTGCACTCGCAAGCTTTTCATATACTTTGTTTGATCTCAGTCCAGAATTAAGAACTTACTCAATTTGCAGACTTTGGTTTCTTTTACCTTATGGAGAAAATGGAGATCAAATAGCTAGCAGATTTTTCCTTCTAAATAGATATTAGCATCTATTTTATTGATTTTTTTTTTTTTAAAGATTTTTTTTTCAGTTAAAACTTGAAACATAACTTACCAAGTTTCTTCCATAATTCAATGCCCAATTCTGTTTCACAAAAGGTTTTTCTAAACCAGGAAATGTGAAGTATGTACCTGTGACATTTCATTGCATGACCTTTATGTATTAACATTTGCATTAGTTCACTGAATTTTACTATAAGAGAAATTAGAGTGCATGCAAAAAGGCTCTAGATATTCCAAGTGGCATTAAAATGATCAGACTACCAGACCTCCTGAAATATGCTGGAGAAGTATCAAAGTGGCAATAAAAAAAAAAAAGCAATCTTTCCCTATTCTTTCGGTGTTAGAACATGCACTTTGGAGATAACAAAATAGGTTAAAAGGCCATCAATGAAGAGTTTAAAATGCACAGAAACTCAACAATAAACTAAAATCTCAGTCATTTGGTTTTATTCTAGAAATCAAGAGAGTACTTTTTCACATTTAAAAGTTTTCTTTGATGCAGACTTCGTTCTAGGGCTCTCAAAAATTAAAGTAGTCATATTAAAAAAAAAAAAAAACCTTTGAGGAGGTTTATATATGTTCCCAGTTGCATTCTATAATTTGGAGGGTAGAGTGAATTTGATCTATTGTAGGTCCATTTCAGCAACGGCTTTCTTTGCAGGAAACTTCTGGAAAGGAGGATGCGATCTTAAATTGGCAAAGGTCTTTAGCTTACCCTGGAGTCTAACGTGTTATCGACTGTTGTCAAACAAACAAACACGGAATAAAGTAAGTCTCCCCCACTCCCCCTTTTCTCCAGTAGTTCTACACCCATCTGTCCGCATTTCCTGCGCCCCTGCTGCACCCGCTAAGCTGTGTTGTCACCGACACAAAATTGTGGCTTTCCAGGAGACCACAGGGGACGTCAGGAAACAAGGGTCACTTGAGACTCTGGGGAAGACGAGGACCCTCGGGACCGCGCAAAGGGCCTAAGACTTCGGGGTGGCGGAGCGGGCATAGGTGTCCCGAGATGCGGAAAGAAGGGCAACTCGCGGAGCCAGAGGGTGCCCCGGCCAAATCCCGCGGGAACTCCCTCGGGCCACATCCGGCGCCCCACCCCCTGCCCTCCGTTGCCATGGAGACCTGGGTCCTGGGCGGGCGGACTACCGCAGGCGAGGGGGCGAACCATCCGGCTCAGCCGCAAGCCCGCGACGGGTGACCGCGCGTGGCCCGGAGAGGCGCAGCGGGGAGCGCTGGAGGCCCCGGCCCCCTCCCCGAACCCAGACGGCGGGAGAGGCTGCATTTGAACCAAACAGCCTTCGCAGGCTGCCGCCGCCGCCCCGCCGCCCCAGGGCTCCCGAGGGCACTGTTCCAGACACCGCCTTCGGTGCCCAAGTGCACGTCTCCGTCCCCAAGCCCCGGGAACATCCGCCCTCTGGGGGAAAGGACGATTTGCGGGAGCCGGTGAGCGGGGTCGCCCGTGGGGGCCGTAGACGGGCTCAGCGGGGAGCGGTGTCCCCAACCGACCTGGGGAAAAGTCGCCTGTCGCTTGGGACGCGATTCCCCAGCTGTCCCCACCCCCTTCCCTTTTGAGTGTGCGGAGATTTCGTTGGGGCTTGTTCAGCTCGAAGTTTAGGAGGCTCCGGTCGGCCTGTAAATGTCCCTTCGTAGTCTTTGGGGCCACAACGGAGTGGGGCCCCCGGAGTGGTCCTGCAGAGATCGTGATTTCCTGAGATAACCATTTCTCTTCACAGAGACGATGCTTAAGGCCCAAGGAGAACCATTTCCTGCAGCATCCGAACTGTAATCGACGACAGTCAGGGGGCAGACATGCTCCAGGCAGGTGAACTGCAGTCTTTGCACGGAGACAGCACGGAGGAGCCCTCGCAGCTGGCCACCCTGGCCCTGTCAGGTGACGAAGAACCCAGCGAAAATAACTCGAGCGGTGTCCCCGAAAAAACTGGATATCCGGACCCCGTTTACATTATGGCAGCGAACATTTTTCAGGGTATTCGAGTCGAAAAGTCACCAGAGAAAGTCTTAATAAAGTATGGGAACGAACCCCTGCGATCCTTGCCCGATGAGGCCGGGGATGAATTCTTTCAGCGTTTGTCCTATGAGCTGGCCTTCAGTACCCTGAAGTGTGAGTAGCACCAGTCTTGAAGATCAGCACTACAAAAAAATGAGAGAATGTGTGGCGTGCAGCCCCCTCGGACACGCCACGTTTTAAAAAGTTTTTATGCCTGTGAATGTCTATAGTCAGTTGCAAATGACAAGGAATTAGAAAGTTCCAGTAAAACAAGCTCCTTCAGGCCAGAACTGGTTTTCAGTGTAGATTTTGGCTTGTTCTTACATAGATGCAATTCGGTCCTTAAACTGAACAAGGAAACACTCTGTTAGCAGGAAGAACAAGAACCCACTGATACACCCAATTATAGTTTCTATCTCTTTGAGTATTTCCATTCTGTGTTTACATCTTGTATTTCAATATGTGAACTCTCAAAAATATAAAATAAAACCCAGTAAGAGCGTGGCGGAAAGTAACAGGGATAATAAGAAGAGGTACAATATATTAAAAATGAATATCAAAATTAGATCAACCCCAATTAAGATGAGCCACTCATAGTCAATAGCTTTAATTTGGGGGAGCTTCTAAATTGATTCCTCCAAACTTGTGTAGAATTTTGCTTTCTAATTTCCCTCTAGGGTTTGAGATGCCATGTTTCAGAGTCTCTCAGTGGCAGTTAATTAGTAACTTTTGAGTGTGGAGCTGATCCCAGGACAGAACCAAATATTGTTACTAAGAGAACAAGCCGTCAGAGGGCCTGGAGACATTTGTTTTTGTACTAGCTATAAATTTTAACATAATATAATACAATATATTATAATGTAATGTAAACTATAAAATTTATATTGGCTTGTAAACTGACTGAGTATAGTTACAAATAGAAGTTCTAGAAATGTTTGGAGTATTAGCAGCATGGTTGAAATGATTAGCACAGGGCTTCCTAAAGAGACACCTTGAAAGGCAGTACTCATTTGCATATATATTTTTAATATTAATACTTACCGGCCTCCTTTCACATCTTGCACATAGGCAGTTAAATTGTTCAGTGGAATTAAAATGTCCCAATAATTTCTTTCTTTTTCTAAAAAAAATGTTTTTAATTGATTTTAGAGGGGGAGAGAGAGAGGAAGGGAGGGAAAGAAATATCAATCGGCTGCCTCCCGAATGCCCCTCTACTGGAAAAAATGTCCCATTAATTTCTTAGACAAGATTATATATTTTTGGTTGACTGCCGAGGTGATAAACTCTGAAGCCAAGAATTTGTCAACACAGAGAAAAATGTGTTTGATGTTAATAGGCAACTTCCCTTTAGTTTTCATTTCTTTCTTTTCTCCTGCTTGTGATTTTTTTCTTTTAAAATTGTCTTAACACATTTTTCCTCCTCCAATTTAATTTTAAAGACCAACCAATAAGTCAAATGAACATTTTTACATTTCTCTTTGCAAGAACGAAAGGCAGCCCTGGCTGGTGTGGCTCATTTGGTTGGGCGTCATCCCATGCACCGAAGCGAAGCGTTGCTAGTTTGATTCCCTCTCAGGCCATGTGCCTGGGTTTTGGGCTTGATCCCCGGTGGGGGGTGTTCAGGAGGCCAATTGAAGTTTCACTCTCAGATGGGTGTTTCTCTCTCTCTCCCTTCCTCTCTCTCTAAAAATTAATAAGAAAGAATGAAATACAGATTGGGCATCTATGTTAATTAGTTGGTATTTAATGTTAATGCCAAAACTCTATTTTAGACAATTTCTTTTCCTAATTATTAACTCTTACCTTAGAAATCAATACTAAATGTCTGAAATTATTTTAGGTGAAATTAAGGACTAATTAGATGGTCATGCTATGGTCATGTGTATAGTAGATTATCTTTTTCTTTCAATTTTTATTTTTGTATTATGAAATGGTCATCTTATTATTTGATATTTTTTAGTAACCCAGAAAAATCCCATTCAGATCAGTTATAGGCCTTTACAAACCTGCTTTTGCTTGAAATGTTCATTTTTATAAGTTCAAATTCTATAAGATGGCTTTGGTTGTTTACTTGGTACAAATATAACTTAATAATATATTGCTTAAGTTATCTGAATAATTTCTGAATGTTCAAGTAGAATAAAACCAGCATTCTTTTTTTTTTAGTTTTATTTATTTATTTATTTACTTACTTATTTCTTACTTTTTTTTCTTAATTTATTTTTATTTATTCTTTTTTTTTTTATTAATTTCTGTTACAGATGATTCTCCTTTTTTCCCCCACTGATTCCCCCCTCCCTGCCCCTTCCCCAGATTGTTGTCCATGTCCTGTTCATGCATACATGCGTGTAAGTTCTGTGGTTCATCCCTCCCCCACCTCCCCACTCCTTAGGGGATTGTCAGTCTGTACCCCGCTTCCGCGTCTCTGGGACTACCCCATTCCTCAAACTGTTATGTTCATTATATTCCACAAATAAGTGAGATCATATGAAATTTGTCTTTCTCTGTTTGGCTTGTTTCACTTAGGATGATACTTTCCAGGTCCCTCCATGTAGTCTCAAAGGATAAGAGATCTTTCTTTCTTACAGCAGCATAGTACTCCATTGTGTGTATGTACCACAGCTTTTTTATCCATTCGTCTACTGATGGGCACTTGGGCTGTTTCCAGATCTTAGCGATTGTAAATAGTGCTGCTACAAAGATGGGGGTACATATATTCTTTCTTATTGGTGTTTTATGCTTCTTAGGGTATATTCCTAGAAGTGGGATCACTGGGTCAAATGGAAGATCAATTTTTAATTTTTTGAGGTGACACCATATTGTTTTCCATAGTGGCTGCACCACTCTGCATTCCCACCAGCAGTATACTAAAACCAGCATTCTTAAATGCAGTGGGTTTCCAAGATAATTAAGAATCTGATATTTTGCTTTAAAATATTTGAGGTTCTTGTCATTTCACTTTTATCTTCTGCATTATCAGTGTTTTATCACTACTTTCACATGATATTTTGTGAAGCTCATTTGGTTTATACAGTACAGACTTGGAATCACAGTTCAGAAAAGAAAACTCAGGATTTCCTTCCTAAGGTTTTATAGGAGCAATAACCTGAAAAGGTTAATAATGTACAAGCTAAAGACAGCGTGGATAATTGTCTCTTTTCTGATGAATTTGTGAACAAGTAATTAGATCATCTTACCTTTTTTTTAGAAAGTACAGGAGAAGAAAAAAAAGTCAGAAAATCCCTTAATCATACAAATGTTAAGTGTATTCCTTGGGTTGGGTTTTGTTCTCCAGTTTTATTGTTTGTTCCTTGATGATGCCCTTCTATGTGTAATAAACTATTTCAAATCAGAGAGTGTATATATCTAATTAACCTTTTAAAGGTATAAAGTGCTTAGTATAGTGTTTTTTTAAATGAAGACAACCACTACTGCTTCTTTACTAAATAGCCCCAAGGTCAGTTTCCACTAAAGGAGGTCAGGAGGAGCAGCCTAATCCTATTAGGTTTGACTTCTGTCAGAGAAGTAGAGTATTGGCAGCTTATTCGTTTTTTCAAAGAATCTCTGGATGTTTCAAGGAATACTAAATACTTAAAAAGAAGAAAAACTGGCAAAATGATTTCTTATAAAATACACTTCTTTAAAGAGAGAAAGAAAGAAAAACTTGAGGCAAGATATGTCCCTGAAATTGTTGATTTTACTGATGGCTTAATTCTTTCTTCAATCTGTCTAGGTGTGTATAGTAGTTGGTGAATTTTCAGTACCAGGAACTGGCTGTGGCATTAACCTGGTCATTTCAGAATCATCTAACCCAGCAGTTCTCAACCTGTGGGTCGTGACCCCTTTGGGGGTTGAATGACCCTTTCACAGGGGTCGCCTAAGACATAATAGTAGCAAAATTACAGTTATGAAGTAGCAACAAAAATAATTTTGTGGTTGGGGGTCACCACAACATGAGGAACTGTATTAAAGGGTCACGGCATTAGGAAGGTTGAGAACACTGATAACCTATCGGCGAAAAACTTTGTAATTGCTTAATGTAGGGTTTGAGAATTAGTAGTTTTAGTTGGGGGTCCCAGGACCACCGTCAGGGTCAATAATGTAATTAGAAGGACTCACAGAACTCAGCTAAGCTGTTATACTCATGGTTACAGTTTATCACAGTGAAAGGTTAGAAATTAAAATCAGCACCAGAAAAAGGTTATGCAGGATAGAGTCCAGAAGAGACCGGGTTCAAGCTTCCTATTGTCCTTTCCGAGTGGAGTCTTACAAATGGTCTTAATTTACCCAGGAACTATGTATGACAACAGGAATGAAGTACTGCCAACCAGGAAAATTCACCCAAGCCTTGCTGTCCAGGGTTTTTATTGGGGGTCAGATATGTAGACATGAGGTGCCCTGTGGCTGATTTTACTCAATCTCTTGCTTTTCCAAAAGTCAAGCCGATACCATGTTGCCCAAGGACCCAGGTGAAGAGAACTTTAATCAGGCAGGATATTCCAGGGGCTTCTACATAGAGGTTATCTCCCAGGAGCCAGCCAAGGGCTATACCATCTAGAACATGCAGGACTTGGACATCCAGGCCTGCTGAGTTAATTCTTGATTGCAGTGACTCATTAGAAAAATTATCTAGATCAATAACCTCTTAAGCTCTGGTTGTCACCTAAGAGGTTAAAGCAATTCTCTTAATACTACCTTATATTTGCATAGCTCTTTGTTTTTTTAAACATCTTTATTGTTGAATGTATTACAGATGTCCCTCCTTTTCCCCCTATTGACCCCCCTCCTCCCTGCTCCCACACCTCTCCTGCTTCCCCACAGTATTGTCTGTGTCTGTTGGTTATTGCATATATGCATATAAGTTCTTTGGTTTATCTTTTTCCTGCCTCCCCCTTTCCTTTGAGGTTTGTCAGTCTAGCAACCAATTTGTACTTCTTTTTAAAAAAAATTTTTTTTCTCTTTTTAAATTGATTTTTAGGGAGAGAGGGAGAGGGAGAGAGAGAGAGAAACATTGATGAGAACATTGATTAGCCGCCTTCTGAATGCCTCCCAACTGAGGATTGGGCCCACAGTCTGGGCATGTGCCCTAACTGGGAGTCCAACCAGTGACCTCT